CTTTTTCAATTCTTAGTGATTCGTTATTTAATTAAGCAGTGATTTTTTTCTTTAAATTTTTAATCTCCGATCTTTTCTGTTTATTTTATATTTTTACTTTCAATTTTTTCTGTTTTAATATTTTTTTCATAAATTAACGCCTTTTTTTTGTCCGTCAATTCTTCATATTTTTTTGCAATTATTTGTTTATATATTTATCAAATGATGGTAAATTAAGATATTTAAAAGAAGTTACTAAACTTTAGTTGTTTACTTAATTAGAGATTTTGTTATCGTTTATTTTGAACTATCATGCCTTTTCGTTATTTTGCACTTCCTTTTGAGATAAATTGTTAGCAGCATATGAGTTTCATTTTTCTGCCAATATCTGCTTAATTTTCCAGTTCATACTTCATCCTGTTGCTTTATCTGAGATTTACCGTAAAATCATTCATAAATTTTGCGTTGACTAAACTGACCAATAATTTTACTTTTTGAATAGCTATGAAAATAGAAGAAATGTTTTAATTTTAATGTTTACTCTATCAATCATAAGTGCATAAAGGCGGTAATTATTTAATTGTGTTAGTGAATTTTATGTGAATAAAATTACAGGAAATTATAGGAGGTACTTACCAATTACCTTATAAATTTGGCGATGCATCTTCTAATTGATGATGGCAAGATGCAATTTTTTGATGCTTTTTTTTGCCAATGGTAAAAGTTCATTGTCGCATTAACAATATCTTTATTATAATTCTTAGGCTGAAATGAAATTCAAAATTTCCACTGAATTTATCGGCCCAATGAAATCTGAAAATAAAATGGGGTCATCATTAATTAATTTGTCTTCTATAAAGAGAAAAAGAGAGTTAGCCAGTTAAAAAAAAAGGAATCAAAATTATTATCATTATAAAAAAATATGAATTGATTGTAAATTTTTACTGTGAATTTTCCTTTCCATTCTTTGATTGAATTTTGATTTGGTGAATTGCAAAAGGAAAAAAAAAAGAGCGGATTTTTCAAGAATGAAGAAAATCGTCGTTTTTTTTTTTTCGAAATGTTCCTATGTGAATATTGCATGCCATACACTTTTATATTTTTGAATACATTCAAAAATGTTGAAATAAATAAATGGTGAAGAAAAAAATGAAGGAGTGCGAAAGATGCCTTTTCAAGCCTTAGTATAATTCCCTTTTGGGATTAACATTTCAACACAATATGAGCTCCTCTTTTCCAAGTCAAATTATACATTTGATAAAATTGTCCCTAAAAAAGAAAAATGAAAAATGAAAAATGGAAAACGAAAAAAAAAAATGGTGCATCCAATAAAGGCAAACGTATAATTCGTGAAGAAAGCAAAAAAATATTTGATATGAAAGCAGCTCGTTTTCTTTTTTTTTCTTTTTAATATTTTCAATTTTTTTAAGAAAATATATTTTTTTTAATTTCTTCTTATTGCGCTTTTTAAATTGAAAAGATACTGATAAATTTTACAACTTTTCAAAACAAAAAAAAAGACATTTCCTATAAAATGTCTACAAAAATTATTTTTTACTAAAAAGAAGACTGAGGGAAAGAGAGAGAGAAAGAGAGAGAGAAAGAGAGAGAGAGAAAGAGAGAGAGAAAGAGAGAGAGAAAGAGAGAAGAAGAGAGAGAGAGAAGTCTAATTTACTACGATGATATCATTAATTTAAATATGCAATTTTTTTTACGACTATCAGCTCTTTTTCCCCCATGAACGTTCATTTTTTCTGCTTTTCTTTCTGCAATCGCTTTAAAATGAAGTAATCAAAATTGCATCGTTTTAAATCACTAAAAACTCATTTTCTACATTTCAAATTATTAAAATGTGCCATAATTGAGAATTTAACAATTAATGATTTAAATTAGAAGAAATGTATTGATTGTTACAAAATAGGTTTTTTTTGTGAAATATTCTTGTCTTCGTTTTTTTTCCTCATTCAATAATTGGTATGCACGAAAAGCTACTATATAGAAAGTGTATCATTAATAATTATTTATTATTACTCGACCTCCTATTAGTGTAATTAAATTTGTTCCACTATTATATTTCTCTTCTCATTCTCTTTCCATCATTTATTTATTTTTATGCCATAAAATGTCGTTTATTTCTATCATTAACATCATTACAATCATCATTATTATTTTTCATCATCGTTATTGTCATCAAAAAAGTTATCATTACAACCACCATTATCATCATCATTATCACCATTGTTATCAATGCATCGTCAACAT